CGCTTCTCAATAAGCCTAGTTCTCTGGAGAGCCATCCAGGTAGATGTGTGTATCAGTAATTCCTTTTGCCTGCTGAGCAGTATTCCATAGTAGTGATGTACTATCATCTGTTTAATCACTCACTTATTGAAGAACATCTAGATTGTTTCCCCACTTGGGCTATTTAAATAAAGCTACTATAAATATTTGTGAACAGGTTTTTTAAAACATTATTTTAGTTTTAGATGGACACAATCCCTTTATTTTATTTTTATGTGGTGCTGAGGATCGAACCCAGTGACCCCTAAATGCGAGGCAAGCACTCTACCACTGAGCCACAACTCCAAACTTCCTCAGGTGAATAGGCTTTTATGTGAACATAAATATATTTCTCTGGGATAAATGTCCAGGAATGCAATCACTTGGGTCATATGGTAGGTGCCTATTTAGTTTTTGTTTTTTATTAAGAAACTGCCCAACCGTTCTCCAAATTGATTGCATGGTTTAGCATTCCCACCAGCAGTATCTGAAGGATTGTTTCTCTACATCCTCATGAGCAATTGCTGTTGTCACTATTTTTATTTTAGCTGTTTAGATAGGCCTGTAGAGAGGACTCATTGTGGCTTTAATTTCCATTCCTTACCAGGTGTGGTTGTGGTGATACATGCCTATAATCCCAGCTGATCAGGAGGCTGAGAAGATCGAAAGTTTAAGGCCAGCCTCAACAATTTAGTGAGGACCTAAGCAACTCAGCAAGACCCTGTCTCAAAACATAAAAAGGGCTGGCGATGTGGCTCAGTGATTAAGCACCCCTGGGTTCAATCCCCAGTGCAAAAAAAAAAAAAAAGAAAAAAAAATTGTATTCCTCTAATAGATAAAGACACGGAGCATCTTTTCATGTGCTCAATTGCCACCTATGCATCTTCTTTGGTGATGTGTCTCTTTATGTCTCTTGTCCACTTGTATTGTTTACTTTTTTTTCTTTTTGAGTGGTAAAAGCTCTTTGTGTATTTTAGATGTTATTCCTTTCTTAGATGATTTGAAAATATTTCCTCCCAGTCTATACTCTGTCTTTTTATTCTCTTCAAAGCTTCTTACCATAGTACAAGTTTTCAATTCTGATGAAGTCTAGTTTATCAGTTCTTCCTTTTATGGCTCATGCTTTTGATGTCAAGTCTCTCTCTCTCTCTCTCTCCCTCTCTCTGTCTCTCTAATCTAACCCCGGATCCCAAAGGTTTTCTCCTACTTTTTTCTAAAATTGTTATAGTTTTGGATTTAAGTCAAAGATCCTTTTCAAGTTAATTTCAGCATAAACTGACATCCACCTGAGGTTCAGTACCTCATCTGAGGGTGTTCAATTGCCCCGGCACCTTTGTTGGAAGGTCGCCTCTGCTTTAACAACTTGCCTTTGCTCCTCTGTCGAAATCAGGTGGGCAAACTTGTGTAGATCTATCTGTGGGTTTTCCATTCTGTTCCACTGATCTATGTGTCTGTGCCTTCACCAACACCAGTCTTGACCACAATAGCAATCTAAGCCTTCAAATTAGGAAAGTCCTCCCTTCCCATTAATTCTTCAAAATTGTTTTGGCTACTCTAGTTCCTATCAATTTTTTCTTTCTCTCACTTATTTTCTCTATTGTTTCTCCTTTCAGTATTATTCATTTCTGCTTGCTTTGAATATCTCCTTCCTTGAGTTTACTCTGCTCTGCTTTTTCTAGGCATTGGAAATAAGAGTTTCAACTATTCATTTCAGACTCTCTTTTGCAATGTATAGAGGTACTGCTATAAATTTTCCTCCCTGCACTGCTTTGGCTATATCCCATAAATTTTGATGTTTTACTTTTGTTTTTATTCAATTCAACATGTTTTTGTATTTTCCCTTGAGACTTCCTTCCTGTTTGACCCATAGAATATTCATAAGGATATTACTTCATTTCTAAGTTTTTTTTAAAAAAATGTGTTTGAATTGCTCTAATGTATGCCCCATCTCAAAATATTTATTTTTTTTCACAAATGTTAATCAAACCAATAACTTAAAATGTATATTTTAGGATTGAGACAGGCAACTAATCAAGATATATATTTTTCTTTTTTATATCAGGTTGTGCCTGTAATATTTGCAGCACTTTTATCATTTTAAATATTCTCTTTCCTAATTTTGGATTTATAATTTTTGTTCATTTATTTAAAAAACAAAAATTATTAAAAAATATTAAAATATAAAAAAAAGATTTTCATGTTACTTCCTTTCCTGATTTCTGGTTTAATTCCATTATGGTTAAAGAATATGCTCTGCATGGTTTTAATCCAGTCTATAGACTACTCTGGGTCCCTTAACCCAATGTTCCTGACTAGTCAACATTTTCCTCCTTACCTTTCAGTTTTTTTTTTAATATTTGTTTTATATGTTGGCTAGGATTTTCAGCTGTACTTAATAGAAAGAATAGGAAAAAGTAAGTCTAATTTGCCCTGCAGGAAGCACAGCCTCCCATCAATGATATTTTAAAACAAAATCACATGCTGCATAGTAACATTTCAGTTAATAGTGAACTGCAAATACAATGGTGACTCTAGGATTATATTGACTGGCAATGTCATAGCCATCTTGGTTTGTGTGATACACTCTATGATGTTCACACAACAACTAAATTTCCTAAGACACATTCCTCAGAAGATTTCCTCACCATTAATTAAGACTGGAACTTCATTCATATGCACATCACTGTTTAGCTGTAAATGATACATGACCAGGCGTTACTATACACATATAGAGGATAATATGTGAGGACCACAGAGTGGTTAGGATGGTAGGTATTAGAACAGAGGTGGAGGTTCATAGGGTTCACCAAGTATTTGAGTCATAGTCATCCATGACTAAGATCTGCCATGTGCTCTTTCAGTCGTGACATCTGTCAGTGGCTGACTCACTGGTAAAGCTGACTGGTCTGGATTCAGGCTTTACTACTGCCTAGTTACATGGCTCAGACAATTTCCTCAACTCCCTTGTGTCAGTTTCTTTATCTGTAAAATGAGGATAACAGTAAGAGTGACCCTTATACCATTTACAAATTAAAGCAAACCATCCTATAAAAAACAGAGGGTAAGTCCTGAACTTAATCCCTTTCAGTGGAGTCCAGTGACTTTGTTTGACTTTGCAGAGTAGGTGGTATCCTCAGGCAAGCTCAGGGGCTCAAGGACCAAAGCATCCATTAAGCCAATGTTATGTGTCTCTGTACTTCTTGGGAACTAATATGAAGTCAACCTTTCCTGGGAACTTTTGAGTAAAAACCTCAGAAGATTCATTATTCTTATGGTGTCTGCTTCTATATTTAAAAGCAAAGCCCCATTTCTTCCCTGTGAATATTTGCACAGGATGCATGGACTGCGCTGAAATCCACCACATGGTGTGCAGGGCCCCATCCTACTCACATGAGGAGACACACTGCCCATCTTTAGCAGAAACAATCAAGTTGGCATATATCTGCCAGCTCCGAGGCACGTTCCTATTTCCTAGGTCTTTCTTGAGTTTAGTGGAGACTCAAAATTCTCTTAATGCTCAAAGAATGATTCCAGAGGATCATGAGCTGCTAGTGAGCTTGAAATCTTTTTCTAATATCTTCTTTCCTCAAGTTCATGACTCACCTTCCACTGCTAGTCATCTGTGCATTTTGAATGAACCTGGTATTGGTGCTGCAGGAAATAATTCAGGCCAGAGAGCTGTGGGTTCTAGTTCAAATTCACTATATAAGTTCAATTTAGGGATCAAGTGTGGTTGATTCAATGAGAAGAAAGTGACTATGTAGGGTGAAAGAGAACACTTCTCTCTTGACCTCTACCTAAATTATAAACATAAAAAAGGATACACGTGTGGCCTTACATGTGTGAGTCCAATGCGCTCGAATGCATATTTAAACACTCATCCACACTCATCTGGGTGTAATGAACATATAATGAAGCAGAAATGTAGCAATGTGTGAGCACTTTTTCTTACATTAAATTTCAGTCATGCCTGCTGAGATAGTTTAATTGCTATATTCTGTGGATAACGGAAGCATTGCCCTTTCATTAAATTAAACAGAGACTTGGTTTCTTCTGGACAAAGAGGGAAAGGAGAACCAGCTATCATTGCTGCAGCTGCTCCTGGGTATGGAGCTAGAATTAAATATAATTTAATTGTCCTCATTCCCAAACAATATGTCCAATAACCATGAAAAAGGCCCCTTGCTTACCCTCACCAGGGTAGAAAAGCAGCTGCATAAACAATCTAAAGTCACACAGAGAGAGGCAACTTTTAAATTTACATGAAACTCTAGGTAACATCCTCTCTCTTCCTGCTTGACTTTACCCCATCCTGGGCTCCCAAAGCACCTGTATAACTGCCTAAGAGGACTGCTGAGTAGGCACCCTTAATGCCTGTCCCACAGATGGTTCCTCCATGGGCCAGCTGTGCAGATGAACACAACACAGAATACTGAAGGTCCACCAGAAAGACCCAGGAGAAAGGACGAAACATTGACCAGCAGAAGCAGCCATGAAAGGTGTGCATAGACAGAAAGCAGGGGCAACAGCATCTAGAGATTTCCATACAGGAGAATGCAGGCAGAGACCTTCCTCTTTGCTAGGACCAACTTTCTCTGGAAAGGAGGATGGGCATTCTGGCTTCTTCTTTCCAAATCCACGCTGGCCAGTAAAGCTAGCACTCATTAAGATTAAAGCACCCATGCTAAACTGCCAATAGACTCACCTGACCGTGCTTCAGTGGAGCATGGGAGTGTTGAACAGGAGCACTCCTGCAGGATGCCAGGAAGCAATCTGATGTTGTATTGTTGCCATACCCAAGAGCGCATTTATAACCACAGCCCAAGACCTTCCCTGGTAAGACTCATCGTCACGCAAGCTTTTTAGATTTGACCTCAATGGTAGTACCTCTACCTAAGAGTTGTCTTTTGAGAAATGGCACTCGTGAATGTGGTATCATAGCTGCCTCATTCTCCAACACCCAAAGCAGGGAGAATTCTTACCCCGTCCTCCTTTGTGCAGACTGGCGGGGCTGCTCCTCTGAGGCTCAGGCGGGCTGAATGGAGGGTAGCGTGGAGGTGTTTTCACTGGAAAAGAGAGCGCAGCAGGGGCATGTCACTCTCCTCCTTGTGGTGGCATGTTGTACACAGGTAATGTGCTTCTTTCTTACCATATGGTGTTTCTGGAGACACAGGAAATGCTGGGGTCGAACATACGGACTCCTTGGTGTTTAAAATCCTACCGTCGATCATGTCGAGGTCTGGGGGATATGCAGTGATCATCGTCTGAAATAGGCATGGGAAGGAGAATATAAGAATGGGGAGTCAGGGGAAAGTCCTCTGCACACAGCTGCAGCTCTCCAGGATGGTTGGTGGATCTAAGTCCTCATCTGAGAGAGAGGACAGGAGAAGGAAACCAGCATCCCTCCCTGCAGCCATAGAAATGGGGAAGAGGGTTCATGTTTAATAGAACAGTCAAGTATCTTATGGTCCATCGTATTAATACAGTATTATACAGCATATTGAAGAAGTTGACAGAGTCTGCAATAGCAAGGGGAAATGTGCATTGTGGCGCTGACTGAAAGTTAATCCTTAACTAGGGTATATCCATAGATAAGTAAAACTACACAACAAGCTAAACACACAGCACAGAAAAAACGGCTGGGAAGAAATATTCCAAATATCAAAATGGGTTTGTTTGTGAATTAAGACTACAAATGACCTTTTCTTCCTGAATATTCTGTAGGTTTCAACTTTTTCCAACTTGAGAAGAAATAAAGAGGGTTGGCTGACCTGTCCTACTCTGATTCTGATCAGAAGCCTTAACTATACCTTCCAGAAGAACAGGAGATGCTCCTGTTGGTGGACCCTCTTGGAGACATAATCCTGAAGGTTCTAGATGGAGCATTTGAGGCCCTGTGTGGCGGCCCAGAAGTCTTCTGTGCTGTCCACCCATGGAGTCCAGCCAAGGCCATGACTGTCCTATCTCCAGCCCTCTCAACCCACCTACGGGCTTCATACCTGGAGCCACTCTACATCAGAATGCAGAGGCTCAGGTGACCTGTGTGAGGCAGCCTGCATGTAGTCATCTCTGGGTGTATAAGGATCCCCACCCAGGCTGTCTGACCACACACCTGTGCACCCAATCAAACCACCTGCCTTGTAGCTGAGGAATGGTGACTGTGAGAGAAGGTGGGTGCAAGAGGTTTATGTAGCTGTGTTCAGGGGCTAAGCACTGCTGTTGTCCTGAGCCCTAGGACAGAAAGTCAGTAGGAAGGAACTGAGATGGGGAGGGGGCCCAGCACACACCTCTTTGATGTCTGCTGGAGAGGGAAACGGCTCCAGGCTTGAGGCTGAGTCCATGCCAGCCTTTCCCCATCCACACTTGGAGAAGGACAGCTGGCTTCCAGCATCATTATCATACTGTCCAAGGCTCAGTTTCCGGAGTCTTCCGCCCAGAGGATCATCACTGGAGGGGCCTGTAAGGAGAGAGCAAGTGGGCTATAGGGGACTTCTGTCACATTGAAGCACAGAGACCCTTGATTAAAACCTGATTTTAAAATTTTCATTGCTGTTTAGCAGTGCTAGGGGCAGACACCAGGGCTGATGCAGACAGATTGAAAACCCTAAGACTCTCAGGGTGAGCCAGCAGCCCCTGAAGCACACAGCTCACAGAAGCCAGTATACTCTTTCCAGAAGAGCTTGTGAGGGGGGAAACACTAGGGCTAACCCTGCAGTGCCGGGACAGACACAGCTGAGCTCAGAGGGAGCCTGCCAGATGTCTCCCTGGGTGCCCCAGACCAAGAGCTCTGATGACCACACATCTGTGGTGACTCCAGGCAGAAGGTGGCCCTACCATGGTTGTTTGAATCATCACAATGAGAAATTCTGGAGGGGAGTATACCCTGATCATAGCACCAACAATAAATGTTCTAATGCCTTGTAAATGTTCACACCAGAAATACTACAGACATTTATTCCACAGATGCCCATGGTCCTTGCTCTTGATTAAATCTGATTCTGCTTATGTTGGGGGGAATAGGATGGGGCTGGAATCTGTTGCTTTAAAAAAAAAATCTCTTCCTGAGGATTCTTATAATTGGTCAGCTGGGGAAATCTTATGCAAGCTGTGAAGATGATAATGTTTCACGTTATGATAGTCTCAAAATTCACACCCAACTAAGATTCCCCTAGAGTTCAGATGTGAGCTAAGAATACAAAGTACATCTTTAAGTTAGCTGTAGGACCCCCCCTTTCTTATGGGTAAAAGGAGCACAATGTATGCTCTTTTTTCCTCCCTCAAACTGTATGAGAATGAAAGAAAGTGAAATGCTGTACCTGTAAATCCTATTCCCATGACAGTCCCTGGACTGGGAGCATAGTAGCCCTGGTCCTCATTCTCTGGCCCTCCACAGGACACAAGATTACAGGCCAGGAAGGATAGTACACTTGCCCCAGCGAGGGCTATGGATTTGACCCTCAACATGCATCTGTGGCAGTGCAGAGAGGGCTATGGGGAAAGGCCAACATCAGGGAAGGCTGGCCCCAGGACCTGACATGGCTCAGTTCAGACACAGGAGGGTACCCCTAAAGCAATCAAGGGACAGATGGTAGCCATGGGCATTAGTGATGGACAGGAAGTGCTAGGGCCACAGACAAGTGACTGACCCTGATCCTCTCCCAGGGAATGGAAGCCATGTCACTGACTCAAAGTTTCTATATAGATGACACTGAGTAGTGATGGGAAACGGTTCCATCCAACACAACCTACCTGCAGCCTGCGCTGGGGACTCAGCCACACTTTTCTGGCATCTACAGTCTACTCACAGCCTAGAAACTCGGAGTTCACAAGGCTCTGAGCCTCCCAGAGCAGCAATGCTTCTGTTCAACTTGCAAGATAAGCTCGCTGTTCTATCACACACGGATGGCAATGTACATCACTGCATAAAGCTCATGGAAAGTTGTGCCAGGTGAGGCCAGTTGTTCCCTTTCACCTGGGGAAGGCAGCCTGGGAGCTTAATGGCCCTGACCTCCACCCTTCTGGTCTGACATTTGAAGACAATTTGCCCTAGAAACCAAGGACCCATTTGGGCCAGTTCAAAACCAGCCAGCATGGCCTGTAGGTGCACTCCAAAGGCCCTCCTCTGTCAGGTACGTCCAGGTGGAAACAGTGCTCAAGAAGGAATGTGCAGCTCTAAACCATGAACCTCAAGGTGGGAGGCTAGGACATTTTTTTTTTTTTTTGTAAAGAACTATCTTAAAGTTTCCTTTAACAATTTTGCTTCAGAGCACTGGGGACTTGGGTCTGTGCATCAGCCAAGATGGAACTGAAAGTGGCTTCTGTACTGGGCTATTCAACCTCCCTCAGACAAGTCTCTGAAACAAGCTTTCATGAGCTGACCCAGGAATGGCCCTGCTCAACACAGATTTGCAATCGTTTCTCTTATTTCCTCTCTATAGGCACAGATTAAGATAACAAATAGAATTGTCTTCATTCAAAAATATCTCCAGGACAAAGTTCTTACTCTAAAACTCCACTTCCAGTGCCTATGCTAAAATGTGGGAGATGGACTCTGGTTAAAAACTGAGTTACACATTGCTTTCCTCAGATGGATCAATATTTCTCAATATCTTGCTGCTATGACATTCAAAAGGGGGAAGATAGTCCTGTGGGAAGGTGGCAATAGGACAACTCCACATCTGCTGCCAGAAAGGGGTTTCACAAATGCAAAAAGAAGAAAGGGATCGGGCTGGGGATATAGCTCAGTTGGTAGAGTGCTTGCCTTGCATGCACAAGGCTCTGGGTTTGATCCCCAGCACCATGAGGGGAAAAAAAAAGAAAGAAAAAGGAGGAAGAGATCAAGGACCCTCTAGAGCACCAGCACAGGGTCTGTGTGCAAGGACTGCAGTGAGCAGGTCTCCAGGCTGTAGGCACACAAGACCCTCAAGCCCCAGTCTCTGGGATAACTCGTATCTCACCTTCCACCTGGACTGGAATCCCCTGAAATGGGATGGTGGAAAGGCCAGGAAGAATGAGGCACTGTGAGACAGAGTTTATGACACAGTAACAAGGCCAGGGTGTAGCGGCCTCTGCCCCAGGGGTTCCAATGGAAAGAAACCCAAAGGGAAGGCGAGGTATATACAGTAGCACCTCATTCACACACTTCTACATGCAGACTCTCACACTCACTCTCTCACACACCTGCTCCATCCACTGACACTGACCTGGGCTGTGTGGGCTGTGCACACTCGTGGTCCCTGACAGTTGAGGGTCAGGTTCTCAGTTCTAACATGAGGAGGAGAGGATCGCATATCCCCCACCCTGACTTCTGCAGACCTGAACTTCTGGTGCTACAAGTTCTTCCCAGCTGAGGGCTGCCAGTGTGCAAGGTGCCAGGTTCCCTACTGGACAAGAAGCTTCATTTTACAGGAGCGGGTTCCTGGCTAGCTCCAGGGACTAGCAAGGCCGATGTGGCCCAAGGCTTCCTGTTTACACTGAAAGATGCCCTCACTCCTTAAAAGTCTCCTGGGCTGACTGTACCCTCACTAGGATCTGAGTGACCCCACAGCAGTGGGCATGGACTAGACCCTGGGTGTTTACAGGGGCCCACATGTGATATCAATAGAAGGGTGGGAGAGAGCCCTCCCCCACAGCAGGTGCACATGTCTAATTTCAGGGCACTGCTGATTGAACCTGAGCCAAGCTCTCTCTCACACAGCCACAGCATGGCCTTCCATTCCCAGGTAGGGCAGAGGTGAGAGCAATCAGAGCGTTACCACCTTATGCTCTGGTACCTAGGGGGCTCTGTGGAGGCCAGTTGCTGTACAGAAACTTCTGGGGGCACTTCATTTGCTTCCTCTGGCACCCTGCCTAGCAGGTTCACCTCTCCACAAAAGGTCTACCGTAAATAGCAAGTGTTTTATCTCTGGACTGTTGCCTCCTTTGAAGGGTTCTCAGTTTCATTTCTTCTTTCTTTCTTTTTTTTTCCTGTAATGGGAATTGAACCCAGGGACTCTTTACCACTGAACTACATCCCCCAATCCCCCAACTCCCCCTGCCTTGCTTTTTTTATTTTTATTTTTTAAGACAGGCTACATTAAAAGTTGCCAAGCCAGGCCTTGACCTTGCAATCCTTCTAACTCAGCCTCCTGAGTCAGTGGGATCAAAGGTGTGGGACACCATCCCTGGATTCTCAGTTTCATTTTTGAGGACAGATAAAGGGGTAAACCACCTGTTCCAGGTAGGTGTAAACAAGGATCTAATCATACTCAGCTCCAAAATTCATTTATGCTGAGATGCCCTGAGGCCTTGATGTGTTTGTTAAATTGTGAGTCTAGAGAGGGATGAGGAGGTGGGAGTTGAACTGGTGACCCTGTGTCCCAGCTTAAGAGCCTGGGCTGAGAGGTGCTTACTCCTCAGCTGTACCTAGAAGAGCCCACGGTGGTTGGCCAAACACACTCTTCCTGCCCTACCCTCTCTTGCATAGTGGCTGTGTGTGTGTGTGTTTGTGTGTGTGTGTGTGTGTGGTGCTGGGGATTGAACCCAGGGCCTCGTGCATGCTAGGCAAGCACTCTACAAACTAAGCTATAACCCCAGCCCCCATAATGACTTCTTTATAGGTTTAAGTACTACTTTCTTTCTGATTGTAAAATTAATGTACGTCATTGCAGACAATTTGGAAAATACATAAAAATACTTGGAAGCAGATCAAGCTCCTTGGAACCGTGGAGACTGGCGGAACCCTGTGAACAGTCCTGCATCTCCAGAAGACACAACTTGTTCATTTCTTTTTCTACTCTGAGGCTCAGCTCATGAGTGTTCCCAGAGAAAGTAATTCAATCGTTCCAGTCTATAAATCACACCTTCTCATTAACATGAAATCACTCACATGTGAAGTGGACAACATCTTCCTGTCCCCACCTCAGCCTCACTGTTACTACTACCCACTGCCCCTCTGCTCGTCTGCCCTCTTAAGGGCTGCCCTGAGTCTGGAGGGACCTCCAGAGGCCACCCCACCACATCTTCTCTGGCCTTGAGCTCCTAGCAAGTAACTTTCCCTTCACTGCTAACTGTATACTACATGCTCCAAAAATGAGCTCAGGGCTTCTGATAGAACTGACTGTGACCTTGGAAGACTGGCCATTTGAGCAATGAACTACTTAATGAGTTGATGATAGAATAATTGAAAACTACTCTCTGAACTATGCCAGAACATCCACGCCATGACTGGTCACAACTAATTTCTCCTTTTCGGTTAAGAAATCCAATCTAGGGAAAGAAAAGTTTTAATGAGAGTAGGGATTGCTGGACGCTCTATAGTGTGGCTGTCACCTCCAGGAACTGGGTAGACAAGGGGATGAACAGAGCTGAACTTGCTCAAGGGAGCCTCTGCAAGGTTTCCCCTCTCTGAAAGTTCCCCTTTGAAGAACAACCAAGGAAAAATAGGGGCAAAACCCAAGCTCCGGCACAGAGACCTTT